CCCAGGGTCACACAGCTAGTAAGTGTCAAGTATTTGGTCTGAGGCCGGTTTTGAACTCAGGTCCTCCTGACTTCAGGGCAGGTGCTGCCATATCCTTTTCCAGCTAATTTTACAGCTGAGGAAACCGAGGCAAACTGGGTTATGACTTGCCCAGGGTCATGTAGCTAGTGAATGTCTGAGGCCAGATTTGAACCCAGAAAGATGAGTCTTCTTGACTCCAGGCCTGGCACTCTATGTGCTATGGCACCACCTAGCTGCTCTCAAGGTTACTCTCTCACTTATCCAATATTCCCAGAACTTTGTGATCTCTCTTTCGCTGCTTTTACTCATAATCTTGAATTATATTAAAATTAAAATTATAATAAATATAATAATTATAATAAAGGGCTAACCTCCACCCTCTAGTCAAATGTGAACTCTTTGAAGGTAGGAACCATTTTCTGCTCATTTTGTCTCTACCTCACGTAGCACAGAGTTAACACAATACTCCTCTTCCCCTCTTGCTTCCCTAATTCTTCATAACACTGCTCCCTGCTCCTACCGTTCTGACCTCTTCGTAGTGTCCCATGCTGGATCTTCATCTAGGTCACACCCATGAACTGTGAATGTCTCCCAAGGCTCTGTCTATGTGCTGTCTGCCTTGGTGATCTCATCAGCTCCCATAGATCCAGTTGTCACCTCCATGCAGACAATTCTCAAGCCTATTTATACAGCTCTGACCTTTGCCCTGACCTCTAGTGTCACATGTCCAAAGTGTCTATTGGACACCTCCAGCTGGATGTTCCATAGATCTCAATGTATCCAAAAGAGAGTCTGTCCTCTTCCTCCCTCCCCTGAACTCTGCCATCTTCCAAACTTGCCAATACTGTCCAAAGCAGTCACTCAGGATCACAACCTCAATGTCATTCCTGGTTCCTCTCTTGCACTCACTCTATATGGTCAATCTCTTATCAAATCTTGTTGTTCAAGCCTTCACGACACCCCTCCTCTATGTCCCCTCCCCTTTCTCTCCATTCATACATCCATCACTCTGCAGCAGGCTCTCAGAGACTTCTACTTGGGTCTCCCTGCCTCCAGTCTCTCTTCACTCCGATCATCCTTCGCTCAGCTGCAAAAATGATTTTCCTAAAGCAAAGGTCTCACCAAGTCACCCTCCCTACTGAATAAACGTCAGGGGGGCCCTCTGTTTCAGCCAGGATTCCAGCCTGTTTGGCTTTCAAAGCCCTTCATGACCTGGGCCAGGGGTGGGAAACCTGCGGCCTCAAGTCCACATTCAGCCTTCTTGGTCCTTGTGTGTGGCCCTTTGAATCCAAACTTCACAGAACTTTCTGTTCTGTTTGCCGTACGTGAGGACCTAGAGGGCCACTCGTAGTCTTGGGCTCTTCCCACCTTTGCAGTCTTCTTACACCTTAACTCCCCTCAACACGCTCCACAGTTAAGTGACATTTGTCTTCTTCACACAAAACACTGCATCTCCAAACACTGCACCTTTGCGTTAGCTGTTCCCACAGGCCTGGAACATTTCACCTCCACCATCTGCTTTCCTTGGCTTCTGGGTACTGGTGAAAAACATGTTTTCCTGGTACAGTCCCAGCCCCCAGAATGCTAACAAATCCGGAGACCGGGCATTAACCCTTTCCAGCCTCTTGCTAGAATGGTACCAGAAGGATCAAGTCCTCTACTTCCCTGCTCCTCTTTCCTATTCCTCTGCCTCCTATTCCTCACTCCTTGTTAGGTAATATAGAATATACCCTCATTAACAGGGCAGTTTCCCATTGGAATCCTACTGGCTCTTTGTCTCAAACAATATAGAAGTCTGAGCTCTTAGGGTGAGTACTGCTATCCTGTGCTGCCTGCTGTAGGCAGAGAGGGCCCACAAGAAGACTATCCATGCCAGAAGTTTTTCTCCTTTTCCCCTTGTGAATAGCAATAAAAAATTTTTTTTTAGCTATCTCTGTGAGAACTGGTATAATTCATCTGGACTCTCTTACACTGCTTCAAGATTCAGCTCAAATCCTAACTTCTCCAAGAGGCCTTTCACAGTATTCCTCATTGCTAGTGTCTTTCCACTGAAATTATCCTTCATCTATTTTGTATATATACACTCTCTCTCTATTACACACACACACACACACACACACACACACACCCCTAGCTGTTTTCATGTTGTCTCCCCCATTAGAATGTGAGCTATATTCTACATTGAGATCAGGCCTCTCTTTGTAACCCTGGAGCTTAGCACAGTGCCTGGCACACAATAGGTGCTTAATAAATGATTATTGATCGACTATAGAATTGAATTGCATCTGAAGATGCTTGTTAGTTGACTGACTGATGCTACAATTCTGATCATTGTGGTTGAAAACTCTGACTCAAAGTTAGTGTTACTCCCTTCCCCCAAACCCCCTTTTTTCCTGGTGGAAACTGGCCACACAAGTATCATCAGTCCTGGTTTTGTCAGTTATGCGGATATGCTGCATACCTGTACTAGGTAACTATGGGGGGAATCAGTTATTCTCTATGGGCCTCAGTTTCCCCATCTATAAGAGGACACCATCACAGATTTTTGAAGGGAGAGGAGAGTTGACATAATCAACATGTGCAATAAACTGACTATTCTCTATTTATCATCTACAGCCTTAGGAACTTGCTGCTCCTTATACTGGCTTATTGCCCTATTGTCTATCCTAGACAGAAAGAGTCCCCTGCCTCTGCTTACTGACCAACAGTTGCAACTTCCGCCTGATAGGCATCTGGAAAGCCCTCTTCTCCCCAAGGTTCTTTGGTCACATCATCTCCCCAACTAAATATTAATCAGTCCAGCCTTCCCACCCCTTCTACCCTCTTGGCCTTGGTATTACCGTTGTAAGCCATCACTGGGCACACTGAAGAAGCAAGTGCTCCAGGCCACCAGCAGAAACTCCCAGCAATTCATCCCGTTCTGTCTGTCTGTCTGTCTGACCTGGGATTGAGGTTGCCTGTTCTTTTTCAAGTTCCATTTGCTTTTTTATACCACTGAATTCTAGCTGGGATCCTCCTCTTCTCTGATTTATAGACGGTAGGAAGGGAGTAATAAATCCCCAGCTACGGGCTAACCCTGGGTACAGAGCCTGATGTCACCTGTTTCCAGGCAGGGCAGCAAGGTGAAAGGGGTGGTGGGAAAGTAGACCACTATTTAACAACGTCAGCCGTTCTACAAATCCATCATGCTGGTAACACAGCTTGTCCCTGGGTCCCACACTGTAGGTGATCTCAGGCATGAGACATAGAAAAACTGAGCCCCTCAGTGAGTCCAGGAGAAAATTAAGCCAGAATGCAGGTTTCTGAATTCCCAGGTCTAGGTTCCCTCTCCCAGCCCATAGCTCTTAATGTTTTCTCATCATTCTCCATAATTGACCACACAAGTATTATCAATCTTGATGTGCTGCATGACTGTACTAGGTAACTACGAAGAAAATTCATTATTCTCTGTGGGTCTTCATTTCCCCACCAATAATGTAGAAGAAATCCTCCAGGCATAATGCTTATTTTCTGGGTAGTACCAAGGTAAAATTTACCTGGGTAAAATTGGAAGGTGAAACTTTTGGGTCCCTAGTCTCCCGATCTTGCTCCCTTCTCCCCATAATGATGGCCCCTCCCTCTCAGTCATTACAGAGGATACTCCTCTGTGAAAGTCAATAGTAGTCCATCTATACATGCACCCCAAAGAAGGCTGCTCTCTGACATTTGATAACATCACCATTAATGTTATTCTGTTCCCCATCCCTCTTATCTGAAGAGTTTGGCTTTACTGAGAAAATTGCGGTCATCCGTTGTGAGCTTCCTCTTCTCCCTATTCTCCACTTCAAATTCCTCCAATAACATCTCTCATTCTCTCCTGCTTTGTTTCAGTCCCTAAGGAAGAAGTGACCCTTCTGTTTGTGACTTAATTCCATCACCTTCCCCCCCCCACCCTGGTCTCCTCCAATAGTTTGTCTCTTCAATACATTCCTCCTCCCTAGGTCATCCTCAGTCTTGCCATATCTATTTGCTCTTTCCTTGTTGCTACAAATAAGGCTATGTCTTCAGATAACAGGGATAAGGTGAAAAGAGAGGCTGAGAGAAAATAGTGAGTAAAAATAAGATGCAGGGAAATTCACAAATAGTAATTATAACTTTGAATGGGAATGAGATGTTTATAGCAGCCCTCTTTGTGGTGGCAAAGGACTGGACATTGCAGGGATTCCCATCAGTTGAGGAATGGCTGGACAAGTAGTATATGGCTGTGATGGAATACTGCTGTGCTGTAAGAAGTGATGAGCTCAATGATCTTAGAAGGACATGGAAAGACTTGCATGAAACGTTCAAGAAAGAAATAAGCAGAACCACAAGAACATTGTACACAGTAACAGCAATATTGTTTTAAGAACAACTTTGAGCAACTAAGTCATTTTGACTATTTTTTTTAAGGCAATTGGGGTTAAGTGATTTGCCCCAGGGTCACACAGCTCGTAAGTGTCAAGTGATTGGTCAGAGGTCAGATTTGAACTCAGGTCCTCCTGACTTCAGGGCCGGTGCTCTATCCACTGAGCCACCTAGCTGCTCCCATTTTGACTACTATAAATGCGCAAGTTAAAAAGAAAGGACATGTGAAGAAAGATGCTATCTGCATCCAAAGAAAGAACTGATAAATAGAAGGATGTATAGGAAAATTTTTATATATACGTATATGTATACACACACTTATTTGTGTCTAATGGTAGCCATCTCTTGGATGGGAGGGGAGAGGGAAGAAAAAAAGGAAAAAAATTTGTAAGAATATCTAAATAAACCTATTTTAGAAAAAGAAATTGAACAGGCCATCAATGAGCTTCCTAAGAAAGAAGCATCAGGACCAGATGGATTTACAATTGAATTCTACAAAACACTTAAAGATCAACTAATTCAATATTAAATAAATTATTTGATATAATAGGCAAAGGAGTCCTGCCAAACTTTTTAATGAAATAAATATGGTACTGATACTTAAACCAGGAAGAGCAAAGACAGAGAAAGAAAATTATAGACCAATTTCATTAATGAATATGGTTGTAAAAATCCTAAATAAAATACTAGCTAGGAGACTACAACAATATACTGCAAAGATTATACACTGTGACCAAGTGGTATTTATACCAGGAATGCAGGGATTATTTAACATAAGGAGAACTATTAACATAATTGATTTTATCAATAACAAAAGTCACAAAAATATATGATTATATTAATAGATGCAGAAAAAGCTTTTGATAAAATACAACACTCATTCCTATTTAAAAACATTTGAAAGTATAAGTATAAATGAACTTTTCCTTTAAATGATAAGATGCATCTACCTAAAATCATCAACAAGCATTATTTGTAATGGGCATAAGCTAGAAGCCTTCCCAATAAGATCAGGAATGAAACAAGGATGCCCTGTATTCAATATTGTATTAGAAATGCTAGCATTAGCGATAAAGAGGAAAAGAAATTGAAGGAATCAGAATGGGCATTGAGATTAATAAAACTATCTCTTTTGCGGATGATATGAATCCTAGAGATTCAACTAAAAAGTTAGTTGAAAATAATTTTTGGCAAATTAGCAGGATATAAAATAAATGCACATAAATCATCAGTGTTTCTACAGATCACCAACAAAACCCCTCAAGAAGAAATAGTAAGAGATACTCCATTTAAAATAACTATAGGCTGTATAAAATAACTGGGAGCACACCTGCCAAGGCAAACCCAGGAACTACATGAACATAATTATAAAACACTTTTTACACACAAATAAAGTCAAATTTAAATAACTGGAGAAATATGAATTGTTCACAGGTGGGCAGAACTTATATAATAAAAATGACAATTCTACCTAATCTAGTTATTCAATGCCATCCCAATTAAATTACCAAAAAAATTATATTACTGAGCTAGAAAGAATAATAACAAAATTCATTTGTAAGAACAAAAGGTCAAGAATATCAAAGGAATTAATGGGGAAAAAATGTAAAGGAAGGGGGTTTAGCAGTACCACATCTTAAACTATATTACAAGGCACTAATTATCAAAACTATCTGGTACTAGCTAAGAAATAGAAAGGTGGTTCAGTGGAACAGAGTAGACATACAATACACAGCAGTAAATGATCAATAACCTTGTGTTTGAAAAATGTAAAGATCTAAGCTTTTGGGATAAGAATTCACTATTTGGTAAAAAATTGTTGCAAAACTGGGAAGCAATCTGGCAGAAATTGGGTGCAGATTAGTATCTCATACCCTTTACCAAGATAAGATAAAATGTATACATGACCTTGTAAAGGGAGATATTATAAGAAAGTTAGAACATAGAATATTACCTATCAGACTTGTGCATAAGAGAAGAATTTATGAATTTATGAATAAACAAGAGATAGTGAGCATTGTGAGATGTAAAATGGTTAATTTTGACTATATTAAATTAAAATGATGTTGTACAAATAGAAGCAATGTAACCAATATTAGAAGGAAAACAAAATTGGGGGAAAAGCTTTTATAGGCAGTTTCTTGGATAAAGGTTTCATATCTCAAATTATGGAGAACTTTGTCAAATTTATAAAAATATGAATCGTTCCCCAATTGACAAATGGTCAAAAGATATGACACAAGCAGTCTTTAAATGAAGAAATCAAATATACATATATACATATATACATACATATGTACATATGAAATATGCTCTAAATCATTATTGATTAGAGAAATGCAATTCAAAACAACTTTGAGATATCATCTCACACCTATCAGATTGTCTAAAATGACAAATGTTGGATGGAATGTGGAAAAATCAGGGCACTAATACACTGTTGATGGAACTATGAGCTGATCCAATCATTTTGGAGAGCAATCTGGAATGAAGCCCAAAGAATTATAAAACTGTGTATACTCTTTGACCCAACAATACCACTATGTTTCCAGCCTTCTTAAACACTGTTCCTTTCCCCTCATTCTATGGTCTAGCCACCTACTCCACAATCTCACACACAATGCTCCAGATCCCCTAACTCAGCTTTTGCATTAGCTGGCCCCCTGCCCCGAATACCTAGAATGCTCTCCCTAGATACCTCAGAATCTAAGAATGCCTGGTTTTCTTCAAGACTCTGTTAAAGTTCTACTTTCTGCAGAAGATCCTTACTCTTAGTATTCAAGCTACTAGAGTCATGCCCTTTAAGGTTACCTTGTAACTACTTTGTATGTGTGTGTGTGTGTGTGTGTATACATATATTCACACATATGTATATACACACATATATTTGTATGTATGTATATACATATAAAGATATATATTTGTATACACACAGATACATATGTATATCTATATCTATATACACAAGGATGCATATGTATATATACATTCAAAGATAAAAAGATATATATACATATCTTTGTATGTCTCTTTATGTTTTCTTCTCCCTCCCCCCATGTAGAATGTAAGCTCCTTGAGGGTAGAAACTATTTTTTTCCTTTTCTTTATATTTTCAGTGCTTACCACAGTGCCTGACACAAAGTAGACACTTAATACATACTTATTGATTAATTGGAGCATTGCATATAATGTCAGATTTTTTTCAATATATTAATTTTGTTGAACTATGTAAAAATCTTTATTAGAAGGGATGGTTCTCTGGGATAAGAAAAGGGTAGGCATATAAGGAGAAATCTGGGTAATGTAAAAACAAAAGATACTAATAAAATCCATTAAAATAATTTTTGATATAAATTTTTCTTTACCCAGCATATGTAGTACAATTAAGCATTTCATTTACATAATAAAGCTTGCCTATCATACATACACACTAACCTCAAAACACATCAGACCTTAAATTTGCAATGAACTTAAAAGGCTGCTTATATTGAAGGGAAATTTCCCATACATGAGTCTCCAGTTCTCCCACAG